TCAAGGGTGCCATAGCAACTTTTTGAACAAGAGAATTCCCTTTCCGCTTCCTAATTTACCCACTACATTGATTTCTCGCGTGTGGCCCTGAGATGGGACAAAAATAGCAGCAACCCTAGAAACGCAAAAGTGAGTGTATGAGTTCAACTGTGCTAACCTCAACATAGTGGGCTTTGCGGCTAGCAAACTGCGCAAATATGAGCCTAAATCCTCTAGAATATTCTCCATATCGCCTGATGATCTCACCTTCGGAGGACTCCTCAAGCGGACTATAGAAGGACTGGCCTGAGAGACTGCTTCTCCTGACCAGAGGATAGTTGGCTGGGTCTTTATGAGTTGTAAGACTAGAATGCCTTCCTGCACCAAGGAAGCACCTACCCGTAGGATCTGCAGCAGCTGCCTGACCAACAGAGGGTTCGGTGTCATCACGACGTACACCTCTTCCAATCGCGTTGCTTAGTCTCCAGTCATTTATGGCATATTCATGTTCGCCAACCCCAAATGGTGTGATTTTCTCGCCATTTGTGTCCCTGGTCTGCCGGTCAGACAAGCAGGAATATGGTTTAAGCGTGTGAGAACCAGAAGAAGTGAGTTCTGGAGAAATATTTGGCGAGACTATTGAATGCGGTAGAGAAGCTGGAGGAGGATGTTGAGGGTCCTGAAATGTTTGATAGTATTCGGCAGAAACTGCTGCCATTCTCTGTTTCTCTTTAGTGTCGCCGGACTTTCCTGATAGCATGAGACTCTTCTGACTAGAGTCAACTTCCGTCTGCTGATCCTTTGACTCTAGAGAAGCTAAAGAAGAGGGAATTGATAAATGAGACATTGTCGGGACACTAGAAATTGGCATTGAGGTGTAGGCGATGGAATCTGATTGAGAAGTTGAAGCAGTTAATATTCTAGACAAGGGCACCAGGTCTGTTTGAGTTGGAGTGGACAGGGAATTGCGTTGCAGTTGAATCGTGGAGCGTTCGGAAATGAGTGAGTTCGAGGCCTGGACGAACAGGTCAGACTGAGGAGAAGGGACAGAAAAAGCGGAAAACTCGGGGAATTGAAAAAGAGACGAATTCCGCTCCTGCCGATCCAATTGTATGTGCTGTTGATGCTGCTGTTGGTGTTGTAGTTGTTGATCACTATGGATCCAAGGGCCTGTTGCCTTGGTGAACAAGTGAGAAGGTAGCTCTCGAACATGCAGCAGGGATTGCGATGTATAGCCGACTTGAATTTGAGCCTCACTCTCGCTAGTTGTAGAGCAGGTCTGCTGTATAGCTCCAGGATAGCCGGCATGTATCAGAGATTGACCGCCCCAGAGGTCAAATCTCTGAGAACTTTCTATCGGGCCTGATCTGTCTGTTAATTCCCATTGAGATGCGCTTTTCAATCCTCTCGACGTTGAGGCGTCAAGGGCGGACTGACTGCCTGCTCCAGCTGTTGTGGTTAAATGAGAGAAATTGGGGTGGAAAGTGTGGCTCTCTGAGGCAGGAATGAAGCGTCGAACCAAGTCTTTGTCATCAACTGGTTTGAAAGAGGCCAAATTGGTGCGAGTTCCTAAAACTTCGCCCGTGGATATCGGGGCCTGCTCACTCAACATTGGAGTATAAAGAGCAGCAGACTCCAAGCTGGCTAGCCTACGTGACCTCTTTCCAAGGAAGGCGCCTGATCCACATCTTTTGCGCTCTGCATAAGAGTCAAATTCAGAGGCTTCTTCTTCACATGAAAGTGTTGGAAGAGGAAGGCCTGGAAAAAATAGGTCCGAGCCAGTATGACCCCGTTCAGCAAAAGTAAAATGAAACTGGCTTGGAGAAAGCCAGTCCGAAGTCGATAGTTGCCCATCTGGCTGGCCACTTTCAAGAGAATATGATTTTGGTAACTTGGCTGACTCAACAGGGATCGTGGTGTTCGGAGTGCTATAGGATCTGTCTCCTCCCATTAGTGAATCAGCATCCAGTGCCTCCGCCGTGTGTGATTCGGAATTAATGTGAGGTTTGGGGCTGTTTAAGGTCCCTTCAAGAGGTAGGGTGGTCAGCAGAAATGGACACTGCGGGTCATTGGTGTGAGAGTACCTCGGACAACCGGAGTGCTCCCAGTCTGTTCGGTGTGGTTCCATTTGGGCGAAATGGTTGTCACCGTTGAGGCAGGTCTGTTCATGAAGTGTAGACTCAGAAAAAGCAAGAAGTGGTGTGCAGGCTGACGTCGTTTTGGCCCAAGGGTTCTGGGGCAGAGGATAGTCAATCAGTCTGGATTTGCCCTCGGTTTCTAATGAGAAGAGAGCGGATCGCCGGTACGTCAGATCCTCACCGGGCAGGTAGTAGGAGTCGGCCGGGTAGAATAGGTCGTATCGGGCCGTGAGACAGGCTGACTGGTCCACCGGGGCAGCCTCTCTGATACCGGGTTGTTGTACATCTTGACCGACTGAAGCGACTGCATGTGGTGGTACAGAATAGGTCTGAGGCAGGGAGTATGGAATGGCACTCGGACTTAGGGATGAACCGCTGTGACTGTCGACCTTGAGGCTTGGGTTGCCACTTCTGCCGGTGTGGTTGCTTCTGCCGTTGTCACTAGCGCCATTCGCCGAGATCGAGAGCCTGTTGGTGACTCCGCAAGAGGTACATGCCCGCCCTTCCAGATCATGAGGTACCACTTCGGGCCCTGGGAAATTAGGACTCTTATCATCTCCAGACTCAGACGCTATGCCTACAATCGGAGGTTGTGCATGTGGATGTTCGACCGGTATGACATGTGGTTGGGACGGTGTCGACGAGTTGCCGAGCAACTGGGCGACGGGGCCGGCCAGACCGGGCTGATTGTGGCAGGTGGCGGCTACCAGGCTGCTCATCGGTAAACCGGGCAACCCGGAGAACTCGGCAGTCAGCATCAGTGGCACAAGGTGGGCCGACGACACCGAGGCCCAAGTGACCAGACAAGTGTCCAGCGCGAATATCACACGTCGCTGGTGGACGGGGTCAGTGTGGCACCTGTTTGCTCAAGCAACGGCCGACTATCCGTTGCGATAGAGACCAACCACAAACGAGGTGCAAACGGCAGAAGTACCATCAAACCAGGCAAATGAGGCCATAGTAAAGGGTTGGGCCTGGAGCAAGTGAGGTGGCAACTTGTGCTCGTTTCGGGGCTGAACGCAATCAAGCCTCAGCACAACACTAGCTCTCCAACGTGGTTACACTGGGCTAGTCTTTGACGTAACAGTGCCAGCTTCCGGTACCGTAGGGTCGGGGTGTAGGTCGGGGAGAAGTCGAGGTGGCTGCAAGTAGAGGCTAGAGGGTGAGTAGTGGGCAGACAGGACAGTCGCGAGGCTGATGTGGGCACGGCAACGGGTATACACGCATCGTTTTACGATTGGACAGTTGGGCTAGGGGCCAGAATGGGAGACAGCGAACAAGGGGAGAGAAAGAGAATTCAGGTGAGGCAGGAAAATTCAGGGAAGCCTATAAGGCATGGACGAAACGAAGGCTGGATAAACGTCGAAAGGATAAAAAGATTATCGCTTGCTCTGCTGCCTCAGAGGGAAGACATGCACAAAGACACATATTTCCCAATGCCTGTACTCCAGCCTATGCCTGCCCCGCTCCTAGGGCTAAATAAGAATCAAGCTATTCCCTCCCGTGTTGCAAAGTGTCATCCTAATCATGGACTCTTTATGCATATAAGCTTAATTATCCTTTTTATATATTTTTTAATGATTTATGTGCATTTATATATAATAAGGTAACATGAAGGAATTATTATGCAAAGGAAATGCAGCAGCTGGACAACCACGTTTACACCTACTTAATGATGGTCTCCAAGCAATCTTATGGGAATAGTAGATATGAGGTCCATGATGGTGCGGCCCTTTGTTTGCTCGCAGTCTTCTCTATCTGTATAGGTTTGGTTTGGCCTCATTTTGGCACCATGATCGAAGCAACAAGGAAACCTGACGATGCCGGCGAAAAGTCTGGGAGCGTATCAAGTCAACGGTCCGATCCTCTATGAGAGAGGACGCAGGACTAGGTAGGTATGTTCCATAAGGTATTCCTGTTGCCCCGACTAAGTTGCGAAAACGAGGTTACACCAAATTTTATGATGAGTTGAAGGATGAGGAAATTGGTATTGCGGAGCAGTAAAAGAGTCGGTCAATAGATTTTAACTGGTATTTCATGGCAGTCTGGTAGAGGTTGCCAACGTGTTTTGAAATGGGCAGTGATTAGTTTGGAAAAGGTTAGGTCCCATTTTCCACTTTGGTAGTGCTGTCAGATAGGCAAAGATGTACGCGCCTTATCGGGACTCCTTTGCTATAGTCGTATTTAAGTAGGGTTTCGAGACTACCAGTAAATCAGTGTAACGAGATGTAATCACCCTATTTCGTCGAAACCCTACTCACATACGAATATAGGTAACGTTGTCGATTGCCATAGCAAACATACGTTTGTTTCATCGGCACTCCCACCAAAGAATATGATATAGCAGAGGCCTGACCGTCC